CCGTTAATAACTTAAAGTTTATTTTTCTAGTTTCCAATGGATCCGGATTCTAAGGACGACGACTTTCCTGTATCTACAAGAAATACGAAAACAAATTTTGGAGAGAAACCACATTTGAAGATTTTCAATTTTCAAAAACAAAACATGAATTTCTAATTTAGACTTAACCAGATAAAGGTTTAAAGGATACGATTTTAATCCAATATGCTGCTCTATCAGGGAAGGGTTACTTGAAATTATACAGCCCCTGTTAAAGGACTAAATAGACACATTTCATTTTAATATACCCCTCTAATCTGGTTTGAAGATTAAGATATAATTCTGAAATGTTATCAATCAAAACTATTAAGAACTATTCCCCATTATTCTTAATTACAGGGATAATCATTACACCAGCATTTATTACACAAAATTAAAAACAGATTTAAGTTTGGCAACAAAAAAATTCTTTTTTAAAGATGAAAGTTTTGTGAAGAATTTTTACCCCTGGTTTTGAAAGGTTGGATAACTTAGAATTATTAGAACAGTTTAGGTTTAGTTTAAGATGGATCCTCCTACTTTCTCCATCCTTCTCTTTTCCCCTTTAGATACCCCCCCATAATATTGACCGAAGTAAAGCAAGGGGGGGGGGTTTAAGTAAAAAGATAATATTGACCGAAGTAAAACGGGGGGGGGAGCGGGGAAGAAAAAGGTTAAATAAATAAGGTGTACGAGCAGTGAAACCTATCCAATTTTATGTGCACTTGCTATGTTATATAAAGCCCATTGTTTTACTAATTTATTTAAATTGGGTCTGTGTAAAATCTCATCGGAAAATGATAAAATTAACAATTTGAGACGATTAATTAGCACTCGTCTTCCTACACCACAGTTTTCTAGGTCCTACTGTATGATGAACTGATATTAGATTTATAAGGATAAAATTACTTTAAGTTACAAATTAAAATTATTATGTAACATTTTCTGTGGAAAAACTATGTTGAAAATTCAGCCTTGGCTCTAGAAACACTGAATTTAAGAACGTTAAAATCATAAAAATTTGTTTAAAATTACAATAAAATATTTTTTTAGTAATCAAACAATTTTCAAAAAGATCTGAACTTTGTCACGCACTCTAATTTTCTAATCATTATATCTTTGCAACTTGATGGTGTTACTGTAAACAGTTCATATTTCAAACTTAGAGTTTCAGATCAAACAGAATTCATAGTATGAAATAAGTCTACGACATCGGTTTGCAAAGATATAGGAGCTAGCAAATCAGACTTTGTAGCAAAAACTCGCATTGTTGACTGGTTCGAGGCGGAATTTATAGCTTTAGATACTGCGCGGTCATTTTAACGAGTTTTAAATAAATTGAAAAATCTATAATTAAAAAACTTGCGTTACCCATTTTTAAAATTTAAACAGTGTTTGCTTAAAAAATGTAAATACAAAATTTTATTGTCCCAATGGTTATTGAAAGTAGCTTTAAAGTTAGTTTAGTTTTTCCTAAAATCAAAAGGGGAGGGGGTTTAAGCAAAAAGGTAATATTGACCGAAGTTAAACAAAGATTTAGAACCCGATGTTGTAAACCTTTGATATTTCAAACTCAGATTATTTGATCTAACAAAATTCATAGTTTGAAATATCTAAGGTCTGCAACATTTGGTTCCAAAGATATAGTGATTAGAAAATCAAAGTTTGTGGCTAAGACTCAATTCCTTTTCAAAAGATTTTGAATATTAAATTTAAAGCAAAAACTAAAATGTTGAAAATCCGCCAAATGTTGTTGATAAATAAATCAATCAATAATATGAACAGCTATCCATCAGCTGTCCCCCTTACTTCCAATACTTTACACCAAAAATATTGAAGATATAAATAAAATATAGAAAGAACAATAATTCTTTATATTTTCCCTTTTTCATTATTTCACTATTCTTAGTCATGAAATGGGGGTGTTGAAATTTAGAGAAAAACAAATTAAACTGTAAATTATTCAGCTTAAGGATCCGTACCCTTCAAGGCTTTGTCCAATAAAGAATGAATGAGAAATTCATGTTTTCTCTTAGTTCGTAGTTTAAATTCAATTGGGGTTTCTCTTTAAAAAAATGTATGCTTCTCTAGAAACAATTAGGAAAAATATCAAAATCTTATTTAGAATATATACAAAATCTTTCCAGTTTAAAGGTACAGATGTATATCACCCATGGTCCTATTTAAATAAAGTGTCAAAATTAAACTTTTCATTTAAATATCTATCTTTCTATCTATCTATCTATCAATTATATCTATCTATCTATCTATCTATCTATCTATTTATCTATCTAATATAACTATCTATATATCTATCTATCTATCTATCTATATATTTATCTATCTATCTATCGACAACTTTCTTTGCCTTTATTGCGTTCAGTTCTACATCATTAAAGCCTTTCAGAGTAGGAGGTTCCTAACATTTATACTTCCTATCCTACCATTTTTAATTCTGCATTTTATATTCCCCCAGTTCCTAAATTTGTAAGGATACATTTAGCGCATAGCTAAAGTCTAACACTTTTAAGTGTGTTTCCCCTCTTAAAGATCATGTAATTGTAAAAATACCTATTTTCAAAATAATTCCTTAAGTCACCCCCCCCCCCCTCATTTTTTTGGACACAATTAAAAAAGTATTGGTCTTAGGCTGTACACTTTTCTAACTTTTCTAGATCTTACTTTAATCTAGTAAAACTGGACGTTAATACTTACTTACTCCAGCAACTCGTTTTGCCAACAATTAGACTTCAGTCATTAAATGTTAACATTTAATATCTCTTTGGAAAGCTTTTGACTAAAAAAAGAGTGCAGATTGTAAAATTTTTTGCTAGTTAATTTTTTGCATTTTTTTGCACAGACACATAAATTTCACATTTTATGTTTCATTAAGATTGTTATTTTGGAAAATTAGTTAAAGTTCTTAATTTTAAGAATTTCTTTAACCTCTGTCTCTCAAAAGTGAAAAAATAAAATGTAGAATTTTCTTTTCTATTTTCTGAGAATATTTCTCAATAAATTGGACGCATTTGTCAGCAAAAATAAAAGTTTTCAAACAAAGATTTCCCACTTGAGAAAAGTAAACTATAGGTTTAAAAACTGATGACTTGTTTTGATCTTTTCAGATTAGAAATATAAAATACAAATCATATTTGAAAATACAAAAGTTGTATTTCTGTTTTTATAGACCTTAAAATGTTTACCTAATTAGAGATTTAACAACTAGACATTCGCCGCAAGCGCTTAATTTTGATGATGATTTTTCCAAGACTCGTATCTTCGCAACCTGATAATGGCGAAACCTTATCAAATTTTGAATCTTATCTTTATAAAAATATATAGCAGAGCTAAAAATTTGAAATATCAAAAATTTACTCAATAAATATATAGTGCTTAGCAAATTAAAATTTGAGACAAACTTTTTTGGTTGGAGATCCCTACAGGGAAGGTTTTTGGACCATCAAAACTGAAAAATATTTTTTTGAAAATGCACCCATTCGAATAGAAAATCCGCCAAAATTTGAGAATGAATAAAAATGGCCGATTTTTTTTTTAAATAAATCCATTGAAACTCAATGAATTGAATTTTATTGCGAATGTATATTCTAAGAAATGTCCTGGCCTGGATAAATTCTTTACAATTTATCTCCCCAAGCTTATGTCGAGATAGATTCTGGAGACTTTTGAATAAGAAAAATGAGAAGAATACTGAAAAAAAACCAATTTTCTTTAATTTAAACAAACGGGACTTTTGCAGTAAAATTCGAAACATATGTAATCTTTGATTTGCTTCAATTATTAATGGAAACGACCGCATATGCTGGTTATTAATATTTGTTAAGCTATTTTATTACTAGGCTTTTAGGGCGCTTCGCATCCACCTTCTATCTAAATTGTGAACATGTTCTTTTTGTTAACATTTTAAAACAAAGAAGAAAAAAATTTCGCGGATTTAAAAAAAAAATTAGCGGATTTTCAAGAATTTAAATTTTTTTTACAAAATTAAAACCATTAAAACACATTTTTTTAAATTTTTATCATTCGTAAACATTCCCAGTGGTCACGTGATGCCCCACCAAAAATTTGGGCCCGATCGGTTCAGCAGTTTTGACGTTTATTGGATACAAACAAACAAACAGACACCCAGTCACCCAGTCAGACAAGCCAAATTTATATATAGATGACATTTTACGTTACGTTAAGTTCAAACTTAAACCATATGAGGCTTTCTATACCAATAAAATTTGTATAGAATGAATCTGCACTTTTTTAATTTGCATCACATGCTACTAATAAAAAGTATATTTAAAATTGCTCTTGACGAAATTTGTTTTGGTTTTAAAGCTTATTTGATCAAGTTTCCATTTGATCATTGTTTCCACTATAAAATCAAAACATTTTTATTTAATTGTTACAAAAGCATAATGTTAGCAAGAAAAATATTTGATCATAATAATTCCCAGGGGGTTGATAGTTCTCTACCTGTGTGCTCAGTTAGCTGTACTGTACACTTACGACTGTTTACTAATATTGATATACTATAGGTTAGGTCAGAATCAACTTATAATAAACAAATATGCACTACGCTCTCGGTATAGTTCATGGCTTATACAATTAGTAAAGGATTAGCGTACATCATCACTCTATACATTATAACCTCGTTGTTCATGGCCTATACAATTAGTAAAGGATTAGCGTACATTATCTCCTTTGAATTGTATAAAATGAACTTTAGAGATTACTGTGTAAATATTGATTTTTAAAACTAATTCTTAAGTCAGCTTTTTGTATTATTATTAATAATTTGTATTGCATTTAGCAACAATTCAAGATTTAAACCACGATTATTTTCATTTGACAGAGTTCAGAATATTATTTTGTAAAGAAATGCATAAAAGTTACAAAAAATATTCTAAATCATGGACGACTACAGTTCTGTTAGTTTTATATGTGACATAACAATAAGAAAATAAATATTTAGTTCAAAAGTAAACATCTACAAAAGATAACAATATCTATATAAGGCAGTCTTCAATTGCATCCTAACTCAGGAAGGAACTATTTGCAAGATGCCTATTTGCTTATTGTTCTTGTCCTTACTTGCCTTGCCTCTTTTGCTAGGTAATAACCTTGTTAAATTAAATTTTAAAATGACTACAATGTCAATTTAACCACCTTTTAAAGGGACAGACAGGCTGTGTAAGGTAATTAAACTGAGTATGCACTATGCAGTGTTGTGGACAAATTCTTTAGGATTTATTTGAGACATATAAAACGTTTCCACGATGTATAATTACTGTGTTTGAGTGCATAGTCGACGTTTAAAATCATGAATTTGGTTGGGTACGTTTTCAAAATAGGTTTTTTCAAAATTATTAAATAACGACCACAATAATTAGATTAAAAATTATACTGTAAACTAATCAGATGTTTAGAAACATATTTCTCAAAAGAAAGGAATTGAGTCTTTGCCACAAACCCTGCTTTTCTTAACCCTATATCTTTGTATATTCCAATGTCGAAGACCTTAGATATTTTAAACTTTGAATTCTGTTAGATCAAAACATATAAGTTTGTGTTTTTAAGATATAGGGATTATATATTCAGAGTTTGTGGCAAAGACTCTATTCCTTTGTCAAAAAATCAATGTTTAGTTTTAATCAATAATTATGTTTTCATCATTATATTGAATTTCTTATTTTCTATAAATTTGTTCGCAGATTTCTACAAATTCTTCAAATGTCGTCTTTTCAATAAAAATTCCGGAAAATCTGCAGACAATATATGTGAATAATCAAAGATTATAGAAACTAATAATTGAACAAGATTACTTATTTTCGATGATAATATAAATTTTTATTTTCTCAACCTGTTCCTAAACAACTAATTAGTTTACTGTAGAATTTTGTTTACATTTTTTGTCGTTGTTATTTAATAATAAATTTTTTTTTTGAAAACTTATCCACCCAAAAGTACGATTTTAAACGTCGACTTTGCGCCCAAACTCAGAATTTACCGCATTAAATAGTTTTATATGTCTTAAATTAATCCTAAAGAATTTTTCCACAACACTGCATACTCAGTTCAACTACCTTACATAGCCTATCTGTCCCTTTAAGGAGGAGTTGCATTTCCAAAATTCAAACCCTGAGAAATTATATTTTTGCCTCATATGATTTTTAAATCGATCTGAAATCAAATTTTATTGTATTTATTTTTCAGTGCTGAATTTGATTGTGATACCTGTGTGTCCTTTATAGGTAATTAAACATGAATACCTACCGACCCCTTTCTCCTTCTAAATCAAAAATTGAAAATTGAAAAAAAAATCGTTCTTTTATTTAAAATGTATTACTTAAGACAGATTGAAAAGCCGATGGATCAGTGCTCAACATATTTATGAAGAACAGATTCCAGTTCTTGTTGGCTCTGTCTGAAGACGTATCTGGATGTGAAACCGGAGTAAATAACTGGTGGGAGGGGATTGGTTAGTGATCTATTTGTATAGTATGTTTTCTTTGATATTATCAATACTAGGTGATTTAGGCACTTCACGTTCTTCACACCCCCCAATCCTATTTACCGCTCTCAAATTTTCTTCAATTTTTGGTTTATAAATGGAGCATTTTCAAAAAATAAATTCTAACAAATTCCCAGGCAAAATTTGTCCTTTTTGACCAGCCATAAACCTTTCCTTTGGTCTTGTGAGTTGCCACACACATTTTGAACTTGATCAGAGCTGGGAACTTTAGAATGGATAACCTTTAATCCCAACTACTTAATCCGAATATCCACTGTGGAAACTTTTAATTTGAGCCCTTAATCCACTCTTTTTCTCTCTCTTTGGATATCCGTACATTATTTTCTCCAATGAGAGTGCAGGAATATAGTTCGTAAATTGTATTGACCAATGACAGCTTTGAAAATAAATTCTATATCCCCGAGAGAAATCCGCAATTTCTAACACAAAGAATTTTTGACTAATGTATTAATAAATAAATGGGTGAAAAATTAATTGAAGGCCCTTCCAGTCAGGAAAACGAACCAATCTGGCGTTCTTAAAACCCAATTTGTTGATCTAAATATTTAATCTCAAGACTAACATAATCTCAAGATTGACAAAAACAGACGATTAAGCATTAATCCTGATATCCACCATTCTATAGTTCCCAACTCAGTTCAGCTGTCTAAATGTGTTTTGGATTCAATCAAACAAATCGACACCAAGACAAGCAGAATATGAAATAAATACAATTATTTTTATTCAGCTTCAGCCATGTATCCTGCTGTGACCAATGCTTTTGCTGAACCAGCTTGCAGTAATCTTATTGAAGGATGCACAGAGAAGAAACAGTTTGTCAAAGAACCATGACTGTGAGAACTGTATCACTGTTATCAATTTTATTGCTGATTTAGCAGGTTTAGATGGTTATGAAGTTGGAATTGCTCAAACTGTTGATTTCTTAAAGGTATAATAACTAAAAATCTTATTTAAGTTTTTACTAAAACATATTCAGATAAGAGCATTTAAATTTATTCTGTAATATGATCCAAATAAAGAAGGTTGTATTCTTACATCAGGGAGATGGATATTGTCGTGGGAACGTGGATGCTGTGGCTATGTTGAAGCGATATCCCAGTTGCTTTACCTGTTCTAGCCTCTGTTTTCAATGAAAGAGCAGAAACCCTCTGCTGTGAGTTGAATGATGAAGGATTTTGCTGTTAATCTATGTTGATGGTTTAAACATGAATTATTGGTGTTAAAATAGATCACACATCTAATAATTTAATATGGTATTTATTTACTAACAAGATTAAATATACGTTGAAAGATATAAAAATGTAGAATGATGAGGAGTATAGGGCTTAGTGTCACTAACAGAGATTAGTGGTTTTTTAAGGGACAAACTGGGTTTCCTGTTAACGATGCCATCGTTTCGAAAAATTAAAGAACGAATTATAATGTGTACTTAAAAATATAACTATATATAAATGCATCAAATTGAATTCAACACCCTGTAATCTATAATATAGTGGAAACCCAGTAATTATACATCATTAAAACGTTTTAAATGTCTCAAATTAATACTAAAATAATTTCTCACTACCATAAATTGGCAGTCACTCCATTTAAGGTAGATTACTGTAATAGTTTAGGTAAATTCCTGCATGCCTAATTTTTAAGACAATGTGGTCACCTTTTCTTTTGGGTTTCCCCTCAGTTTTTATATTTTTTTGGTCCATCTTTCTGAACTGTAGATTAGGTATCCAATACAAAATTAAAGTTTCTGTTATTCCATTCCAAAGCGCACATTTCCTTATCTTAGCAACCTAATGGTGTAAACCTTGGAAATGTCCAATTTAGACTCCAAATATAAAAGAATATAGGGGCAAAGAAGTGGAGCCATATATATGATATGACATGTTTATAAAAGAAATATATATTTTTACTTTGTCATTACTTTGTTATTAAGTAAATAATGTAACGCAAATTATTATTGTCAGTGTCGAATTTGTATTTTTTAGTGCTCCATCTATTATTTCTTCTAGAAATTGAGACAATATAGAAGAAAATAAATCTTGGAAAAAGACAGATGGATAAAGGCAGAATCCAACAGATAAAATCTTGATTTATTTCAGCTCTATACAGAAGCTCTATATATATAATATACTTTATATCAGGGAAATTAAAGGGACTGAACACTTCATTGAAAATGTACCTCAATTTATGGAAGTTGCATGTCACGTTCACCATGGATTACCTTAAACACTGTGTATGATTAAAATGATTTTTAAGTTTTTTCAATTAAAAAGAATTATTTTAAAACATATTTTCTCCATTAATTTGAACTTACACAATCTATATTTTTTCATTTTTGATTCCTTGGAATGTTTTAAAAGGAAATCAGAATTTACAATTTAAATTTCATTTTTTCATTTGTGCGTAATCAGAGCCATATAGAAACCAATAAAGTTACCAGGATAATTAAGAATAATTTTTGCTTGTTGGGATTAACTAAGTCAAATAAATCTACTCGTCTGTGTAAATGAGATAGAAAAATACAATTAAGTAACCCCCCCCCCCCCCCCCCGCTTGTCCCCCATATTTCCTATCTCACATAGAAGATAAGGATATATTTAGAAGTATTTTCAACTTTTACAAAACAACTATTAAAACTTTTCTGTACTTTTCATTTTATTTTTAACCAAGATCTATTTCTTTTTCTCTGCTTTGTATAATATCATTGCATAAAAAATCTGGTGGCTAGTTGATGGAAGTACATACAAAACTAAAGTATATATGCACGAAAGATTAAAATGCTGTTTTCGATTGTATATACCACGTCGAGCAAGTTAGATTGAAATGTTTTCAATAAAAACTCCTCTTATTCAAGAGCTATTGAGAAGAACAAACCTGTTTTAAATTTCTAATATGTAACCGGAAAATATTGTTGTTTTCTACGAGGTCACAAAGTTGTACCAGTGATGTCGCATAAAAGTTGCCTTCTTCTTCTGCTTATTAAACAGCTATTGAGAAGAACAAAAATGTTTTGAATGTCTAAGGAATTGAGTCTTTGCCACAAACTCTGATTTTCTAATCACTATATCTTTGGAACCAAATGTTGCAGACCTTAGATATTTTAAACTATGAATTCTGTTAGATCAAATAATTTGAGTTTGAAGTATCAAAGGTTTACAACATCGAGTTCTAAAGATTGGGTTTATAAAACACGGATTATACAATCCCTAGAAGGTATCAAAAAGGTAGAGAAAAGGATTCCAAATCCCTAGAAGGTATGGGAAAAGGTAAACGGATTCCCCAATCCCTAGAACGTATCAAAAAGTTAAACGGATTCCACAATCCCTAGAAGGTATCGAAAAGGTAGAGAAAAGGATTCCATAATCTCTAGAAGGTATCGAAAAGGTAAAGAAAAGGATTCCATAATCTCTAGAAGGTATCGAAAAGGTAGAGAAAAGGATTCCATAATCCCTAGAAGGTATGGAAAAGGTAGAGAAAAGGAAATTTTAAAAATCTTTTTGTTATGTAAAAAAACATTCTGGAAAAAAATGATTAAACAATAGATTTGAAATATTAATACATATTTTATAACTATTATTATTGTTGTTTATATCAAGTGAAATTTGATTTGAATATTTAAGAGAGCTGGGAGGAGAATAGACAGATAAGTAGACATTATTTGAAATCTGCCCATCAACTAACAGTTCCCTTGGGACTCAGATACACAGATAGACAGACAGACACAGGAACAGAATAATAGACAGATAAGTAGAAAGTAGACATTATTTGACATCTGCCCATCAACTAACAGTTCCCTTGAGACTCAGATAAACATATGGACAGACAGACACAGGAACAGAATAATAGACAGAAAGTAGACATAATTTGACAATTGCCCATCACAGGAACAGAATAATAGACAGATAAGTAGATATTATTTGACATCTGCCCATCACAGGAACAGAATAATAGACAGATAAGTAGACATTACTTGACAGCTTTCCGTCAACCAATAGTTTCCTTGGGACTCCAATACACAAATAGACAGACACAAAGAATAATATACAGATAAGAAGGCAAAATTTTTTTAGAAAGTCAGAAAAAATAGAGATGTATAGAAAAATTCAATATGACTATTATGACATATAGATTGTTAGACAGATAGGTTAATAGACAGATAGGTACACTAGACAAGGCTAGACATGAGGAATAGATATTATTGTTATTTGATAAAACACTTACCTTAACTTAACTTAACATTTTCAAACTTCAATAAAGTAAACATACATGACTTATTTTTGTTTTAGGAAAAAATTGAATAAAGATCGACCATTCTTTTTAAGGTTAGTTTTTTTAGTTATTCTTTAATTTGGTAGCCATTAAGTACAATACTGAAATGTTCTTCAAAATTTCTAAAAATAAAAAATAAATTAGTTATGAAAGCATTAATTAACCCTTTTCCTGCTGGGGGAGGGGATGGGGTCAAATTAAATGTTTTTTTTTAAAGTATTGCTTAAAAACTATCAGAACTGAAAACTTTAGATTGAGATATCCTTAATCCTGATTACTTAATCTGACTATCCAATGGACACACTTTTTATTTTCTTCTTAAACCGTTCTTTCTTTGATATAGAAGAGAAAAATCAAAACAACCGGTTTTTTAAAATTAGAGAGTTCCTCCCATTTCTGTATATATTAATCTTAAATGGCGCGCAAAATTTCAAATTTATCGGCTTCATAAACGCGACTCTGTTTGGTTGAATTTTATACACTTTTTAGGATACAAGTACAAGATTAGGTTAGTTTTGATATCTAGATATCCACCATTCTAAAGCTTTCAGCTCAGGCCTTCTTGGCTTTTGAATAGAAAAGTTTTTTAAAAGTTTACCAAAAAATATGATAAAAATAAATAGATTTTATATTTGATAATTCTTATGTTTATTGTCTTTAATAAATATCCCGAGTAGTATTTCCACCAATACATCAGATGCTTCAATTAGTGTATATCAAGCAAACAAGAAAAATGCATAAATAATAATTAATAAACATCTTATAACATACATATTTTTTCCTATGAATATCAGGATTATGTTTTTTGCTGGGTTATTGAAACAAATTTCGTAATTGTAATTGTATATGTTATTGTTTATACTGATACAGTGATATTCTATACATAACGGAATAATGTAAATTGATTGATGACTTTTTAAGTCGTCTTTGACCTAGATTGCGGCAGTCATCATAGATATGCATCCTATATGCCAAGCAAAAATGCATAAATAATAATTAATAAGCATCTTAAAATATATATTTCTTTTTCTATGCATACCAGATTTTTATAGGTCATTGAAAAGCATGATTAAAACGATTTTTTCCTTCTTCAAAATTTCGTAAACTGTATTTCCTTATGATGCATTATGATGCCTAAAAACAATCTAAAAGTTTTGAAAGCTGGGATGGTTACTTTCTAAATCTAATGAATTGTTTCGTTTTAAGTTACAATTGTAAACTAAGTTGCAAGCGTATTGTTCTGACTACATGAGATATGATTTAAAGTCAGTTGTTGAGTTATATCTTTTCGAAGTTTGAGACATCTTGTTTTCTTTACTTTAATCTTATTTAGATATAAACTTTATGGTAAAGTCATGCTTTGTGTTGTTTACTATGTACTATTTATATAATAATATAATAATAAAAAGTATAAAAAAATAATGACATTTATAAATTTTTAATTGCGTTCAAATCACACAGCACTAGGGTTTCCAGCGAATGAAATTTTTCGCGAAAAAATGTGAACATTTTCGTTTGTATTTCTCAAACGTTTTCGTGAATTTTGGCAACTTTTCGCGAAAATGAATTTTGTGAAAAAATGCGAAAACAATGCTTTTATTTGCGAAATTATTTTCTTTTTTCGCTGAAGATCCTACGTGAGACTACGTTAGCGTACTGCCTTTTACACATCATTTACATGATGTATAAAACTGAGTTTGCTGTCTTGAATGATCAGTTAAAGGTGTAAAGGGTACCGTTGTGAATCCAAGGTATCTCTCCTTAAATGGAAGATTATTTAAAATTTCGCTAACAGTCCATTTAAAGCCATTTTAGAAATTTTCGATCACCTTCCCCCCAAAAAATGGTAAATACAAAAACATGTTATATCTGAAAATGAGATAAAGTTTTCTGTACAAAATCTGTTAGAAGAAATGTTTATGATTTATGATTTGGATTAAGAAAGTGTAAGAAACTAAAGTGAGGCATTGTTGGCATATTCCTTGGTTTTTCACCCAACCAATAGGGATGGAAAACTTCGTGTTTTTTTCAGAAATCATTTAAAACT